GGACGCAATGCGGCAGAAGAAGTTCTGTCGGGAGGTGGAGCTAGATCTTGTGAAGAAGGAAACTCAAGAAGATGGTGGAGCAGTTCTTGAGAAAGTTATTAACTGTTGGTGGACGCTTTTGGTGGAGGAGATCGGCATAGTTGTTCTTTGGCTGTTTTTTATGAACAGTGGTTATCTTTTATTGTGTAAATCTAGGACCAAGGTAGAGATTGTTGGATATTTTTTCCTAGATTTAGGATTGCTTTTAGTATTAGGTATTTTTTTGGCATGTATGGCCAATAGTGTAGCTATTTGTATAGCTTGTATGACTCTTTAAATAGGGATTTTTAAGCTGTAATAGGTGGCCAAGAGAGAAATAAAGTTTTATGCATTTGCATCTCTCTCTCTTCTTCTTCCATCTCCTCCTCCTCCTCAAGAAGCTCATGTAGGAAGTGCTTCTTCCTCTCTAGAGAGCAAGGATTCGACAGTGTGAAAGAGCTAAAAAAGGTGATGGACAAATGTTATATGTGATTGTCATTATTTTACAAACATTACAGAATAATCGCTCATTATCGGAGAAAATCAGCTATAAATATTTATTGTATTCCATTGAAAAACTGTCTGAAAATTGTCTGACAGAAATCCATTGGAAAATTCCGCCGATAATGGGTGATTTTTCTATAGTGAGAGATAATGATTGTTTGTTGACACCCATCAAGTAATGGAAGTTGAGATGGGGGCATAGAGATGTCAGTCGATTGTTAATAGTCAGGTGATGATGATTGGACTGGGATGGTTAGAAAATGATAATTGGGTGTCAACAATCAGATTATAACTTGCAGAAGATGGTAGTATGATAACAATGATAGGACAATGATGGTTAGAAAAAAAAATAACCAAATGTTCATGATAGGGCAATGAATTGTGGATGGATAAGGGTAAGCTATGCTAATTGCTAGTGGTGGTCGATAGTGTTAATCATTGGATAGGCATCTAAAACTTTTCTGATCTCTAAGTCCTTATCAAATTTAGCTTAAGGACTCATTCATATAAAGAATAGTGTCTATTTATAATTTATTAGGGGTAATATTTTGATAATTTTAACAAAATTTTTAAAGACTTCTTTGAAGAATCCATGCTAACTAATTTGATTATACATCATTTTTTTTTTCATTATTTAAGTTTCGTAACAACATCAAAATTAAGTGATTTTAAACTCATTAGATTCTATTATCAAGACAATCATATTAACTATAAAAGATTGCTTGTTCTGTCAGTTAGTGTTATCAAGTTTCCAATTATACTTGAAGTGCTTGATTTATGCTCATTTGTACTGAAATCAAGATACTTTTTGTGTGATTATGTTATATTCATCAAAATGTTCATTTTGACTATCAGTTTATTGAAATCATAATTTAGATAGTTGCTTAATTGATCTAACAAATTTTAATTCAAATATTGCATGAATATGCATGATTAATTGATGGACTTTCTAATGATGAATAAGTTCTCTCTCTATTTTTGGAAGTTAAAATCTCGGCATTCAAAATCAGAAAAAAAAAATCATTAAGTCTTAAAAAACTACAATAAAAAATTATAATTTTAGAAAAATTATAATGCACAATCATTCTCATGATGTCAATGTAAACTTCTCATTTGAGTCGTGAACAAAGAAAATTCTTTTAAATTATAATTTACCCTTCCCTATACTTTGATTTGTAAATTTGAGAGAAATTAAATTTCAACAAAACTTGCCTAAACTGTCCAATTGATTTAAATTTAACCGTACAAGCTCCATTTTTGATTGAAAATGTCAAATTTGATCACAAAATATAAAAAAATTGGTCATTGGGAGCCCATTTCTAGAAAATGCTATTTTGGGCCCAAACTTGGGCTTTAATGCACATACTTGCCCAATTAGCAATCAGCAAGTGAAATGCAGTGCATTGTCTCCTTTTCTATTGTTATTATTTTTAAAATAGCTATATTTATTTATTTTTATTATTTTAATAAAAAATATTTTTTAAATTTAATAAACTCCATTCATGTTACAAAAACTATCAAATATTACAAAACAATCCCTAAATTTAAAATAAAAAAAAAAATAGCTCGCCTTCAAAACTTTAAGCATAAATACTCTTATTAGGCAAGGAGCAAAACTCACAACTAATAGTTATCTTATAATAGGCTTTGTTTCATCTCTTACAAGAGGTTTGACATTGTTCGGTATAGGCGGTGTATAGTTTCACCTTTATATGCTCCAATATTACTTTATAAATAGGGTTTCAGCTTTATGATTCTTTATACTATAACAATGATCTTCCAAGGAAAAACTTAGGGATCCCTTAATCAACTAGATTATTACATCTTTGACTGAGAGACTGATTCTTGTAGTGACGAGTGATAGAATGGGAGTCCATTATGATAGGCGGTATGTTTATCAAGCATTGAACAAGTATGTGTAGAATGTATGGAATATTTATCACAGATGATATCAAATTATTGAGTACAAGAATAAAGAATTTACAATATTATATTTAAACGAAGATCCCCCAAACATACAATAAAATAAGTTCATAATAGATACCTAAGTTTGTGTGTGGAAAACATGAAAGCAAAAGATCATAGGGTCTTGCTTAGTTAAAATAATCCACTATACAAGTAAAGTTACAAAAATCTTACCTCTATCTCGATTAGAAAAGAAACGATTACAAAATATAGTGCAGTAGCCTAATCTCCTATGGGTGTAGCAAAGAAGATTAACAAAATAGTGAAAGATAAGGACAATCAAACAATAATGGTTGTGGGGCAATTATTAGTTGATGTCAGTCCAATAATGCAGATATATTGGGCGATAGTGGTCGGCCAATGATTGTTGATTGATGATGATTTGATGATGAAGATTAGGAGATAATTATCGGGCCACGGCAATTGGGAGGTAGTAGTCGAATAATAATGATCAAGCAGTGGAGGTTGGGCGATAGTGATTGGATGATGGGGGTAGGGTGATGATAGTTAGTGGCAATCATTATTAACATCATTCATCAGAAAGTGCTAACAATTTTTTAGATCTCTATGCTCTGTCTAAATTCAACTTGAGTACAGAGATCTACTCATAATATTTTGGGTTGATACTGATAATTTTAGCTATAATTCCAAAAAATTCCATGAGATGACCTTGTTAAGTCCTTTAATCATAATTAATTTCTATGAAATTTAATGCCTTAATGACCTCAAAATTGAGTTATTTTAAGCTTATGGAATTTATTTTGTTTGAACATTTGTTTTGATAGTAAGCACATAATATTCAAATATTGTTTTATGAAGTTTTCAACTATGCTTCAAATATTTGATTTGAGCTCATTTGGGACTCATATCAAGACACTTTTGATGCCTTTAGACTACATAAAAAATTGACTTTTGAGGCAATTTAAATATGCTTTCGCAATAGATTTCTTCGTTGCAAAGAAGTTTGTAGCCATTTTGAAATTGTTGCAACACCACTCTCATTGATATTCAATGTTACTACCATTAACAATGGTTTTCTAACCATTGTGGAAGAGATTTCACAGTAGAATTTGTCGTACCAATTTTTATTACTGCAAATTGATAGAAGAGATTAAAGTTGTTGTAATAGCCCACTATTGATAGTAGCAGTTATAACCACTGCAAGTTCCTATATTTCTTATATCATATATATATATATATATATATATATATAAGAATAACAACCATTTATAAGAAGCACATGTTCATAGATATTCAGGCTGAAGATTCAATGTATACTGTAATACTATTTATAGAAATTCAGCAAATAACAAAAGAGTCTTTAGATAGTCACGAATCAATCCTAGGTGAAAGCAAATACACTTTCAAGGAAGATTTGATCATTGTTATTTTGTTTCCTTTATCACCACAAGCACTATTGATACACACAATTATGCAAGTAACAATTATAAGTGATTTATACGCAACTTAACATAGACATTAACATATGCATATATAAATTTTACAGACTTTCGGCTAAGGCTTCTTTTTGGACAGCTTTATTGTTGTTTTCTATTAAAAAAATTGGTACTAAAAAGCTGCTTTAGAAAGCAATATGAAAGTTGTCTCAAACGTAGTTTAAGAAGGCCGATTGGGAGCCAATTCAACACATCAAACTTCTTAACAAAGTCATACAAAATAGCAATCCATGCTTATCCAATATTCATAAAAGTGTATATATTTATTGGGATCTTCTTTCAGTCAATTTCAGCTGGTTTACAACCAATGATAAATAATAAACTCTAACTATAGTCTGACCAAAAAGCTATTGTACATTAAGCTGAGTATGCCAAGCTTGACAAATGGCTTATTGTTAAGACCATACAAAATAAAATAACCTTTACATAATTTAAAATAGTAATAATAAATTCAAAACCTTTGATACAGAATAATGTTTGCACTACCATGCAGATTGGAGCTGGAACTGCGAACATGAATGCTGAAATAAGTCTTACTTGTACACTTTCCTTCCAGCTTTTCTTCACGCTTCATAGTTTGAAATGAGCTTTAGCTAAAATGGTAAAGATTGTAGGATAGGATCTCTCTCTCTCTCTCTCTCTCTCCCCCTTTTTAATGATTTTTAGTTCATAAATTCCCAAAAGTTTTCTTCTCTGTCCCATTGGATAACAGGAAAGAACTTCCAATTAGAGATAAACCTTTACTGTCACCTGGCAATACAAGGCTACCAAGCAGGGCCACTATCTTTAACTAAGATCATCTAGCTGAGTTTTCTTTGGTCCAGCACATAAGGACGAACACTTCTTTCAATATATAATTAAGAAATAACATATCAACACACAATTTTATACTAGCTAACCTCTCACATGTCAAATTCACAGGTCCAGCTTCTAATCTAAAGAAGTTCAAACTAATTATATTGTTTCCATATCAGCAAATATTGTCAACGGTCACTGAACCTGCCAATAATTTTTGAAGGCAGACTAGTATCTATCTGAAAGAACTGTATAACAAACTGAAGATAATAATTCATGCATTCAAGAGCATAAGAACAGTCCTATGGGAGCAACAACAAAATATAATAATCACTACTCATCAGCTAGGGTTTCTGAAAAATGATCAAACATAGCTTCAAATGACTTAGGCTTCGTTTGGAACAGCTTTCTTACTATTTCTTATAACTTTTTTTTTTTTGTAGAAACCTTTTTAAAGAAACAATAAGAAAGTCATCCCAAACGAAATCTTAATGTATACAAAATAATGAAGATCAAACATTGAAATTAGCTAGCTAGCACCATGCCAACCCTTACATAGTAATATACACACTCTAAGCTCATTAAAACTGATTAATTGAGCCAATCATGGTTGCACCCTTACCATCCTGAACCCTTTATCCTTATGTTAAGCATCTCTTACCTCAAAAACATTGCGGCTCTTGACAACTATGTCATACATATGAACCGTGCTAAGCCTAGAGAATTCTCTAGGGAGGGAGATGAGATACACTGAGGAGCGCTTGTGGAACTGAACGAGGGAAGAGTCGCCAGAATATCGCTCCCAACCGAGCTCGCGTAGCTTCGTTTCAAGCATATCATAGGAGCTTATTACCTCATTGGTAGGGAGATGAACCAAGACCTTGCGACGGCTTCCGCCAGGTCGGCTTTGACCGTCGCCTTGCTCACCTCCAGGGTTCTCAAGGCGAATCACTCCATTTTTGAAAACCCAAACACCAGACATTCTTTGTTCTTTCCTTCTGTTTTTAGGGTTTGAATTATGATGAAAGCTTTGAAGGAGTTTATATATATGCTAGCTGAGAGTTTTGGTTGGGGAAGTCATTTTGTTCCATTGGGAATAATGGCTAAGGTGGGGTGTTAAGGAGGTTCTTCAAACGACGGTGGGCCATGTGGACCTCATAAATTAATAAAATTATTTTTATTTATCTTTTAATATTGCAAGCTTTTACTCTTTGAACATAGAGCTATTCAAGTTTCGTTTTCCGGGACCAGTTACATGTGGTAGGGTGCTTCTTTCTGCCGTGGGAGGGAGGGGAGGGATAAGCTAAATTTATAAAAATTTAATTTCATTTATTTTATTTCACTTAATTTGTCACTAAATTATTTTTCATGAAAACTATAGAGCTTTGTATTTATAAAGCAACTGTGGAGAAAATAATTTTCTTAAAAATGGTTGTAATACAATTTTTTTAAAGCAGTGGCAAAAAAAAAATTATGATCTGAACAGTAAATTAATAAAAAAGCTATTCCAAACGAAGTATAAATCATCATATTCAAATGTAGACATCAGCATTAAAGTAGTCATATTATGTTCATGAAAGGATTGAAAAGGTTCATAAAACAAAATTGTTTAAGTTGTGTCAGCAAAAGAAAATCTATTGAGGATAGATAAGAAAGAATAAGTATAAAACCTAAGGGTAGGGATAACAATAAAATCCCCATCAGGAAAAGGATGACTTTAAATCTACCAGCGTTTTTATCTGAGCAACATCATCATCAAACGGTTTAAAAATAGCTGGAATTTTTTTTAAAGTTTTAATGGTTTTAATCTATACTAAATTATAATGGAAAAAATAGTTGTTGGTTGCAGTGGTTTAATCTTACATAAGAGAAATATTATTAGATAATAGCTTAATTTTTATTACTGTAGGATAGTAGGAATTTATTTGCCTCTCATTGCATGCCCACAAAGTCTTTTTACATGTATGAGTTCTGCTGAACGTATGTGACGACAACATGAGAGAATCAACCTTGTAGTCGATGATATGCATCGACATATTTAGCGATTGCCGGTGCTAATGGTTAAGAGATAGTTATTGAGCTATGGTGGTTGAAGAATCGTAGTCAGACAATAGTGATCGAAGGAATCTAATTAGAATATGGTGGTTACATGATCATAGTCAGGTGTTGTGGTGTGGTAAATTGATAGTTAATATACTTATGACAACTAAATAATTATATGAGCATGCTGACTTTATAGAAAATAATTTGATGAGTTGATTAGTAATTAGTGCATAATTAAGATGTGGTGGCCAAGTTCACTTTTTTTAATGAAGCAATTTGAGACTTTCCTACCTAAGGAGTAATTATTGTGTCCGGACACCGAACGCGTCCAGAGACCAATAATAATGTGCCACGTCACCTGGAGCCTGGTACCGAGTACTCGGTATACGTCCAGATTTTCAATTTTTTGTCCGGACGTAATAACTTTTCCTACCTAAGAGCTTTAACTCCCACTCCTGAAATTTGAGGATCCGGCCATCATTTATAAATTATAATTTTCATGATTTAATAACAAAAGTTTAATAATTTTTTATCTAATAAATGCAAAAAAAAATATAATCTACAATATTTAAATATTTTTCTCATATCACAATATAATTTAAGAAAGATATGCTATTAAAAATAAGATGGCTTAAATAAATTTATCAGTTTAATAAATCTAAATCTATTCTTCAGCTTTAAATTTTGTATAATGTTTGTGTATTTTTATTATTCAAAAATGATATTATTGAATAAAATGAATTATATTTTATTAAAAATAGTTATTTTAAATAATATTATTATTGAAAGAAATTAATATTTAATATCATTTAATAATAATTATTTAATTAATTAAAATGTTAAAAGACTAATCAGGAGGTGTAAATGTGCTGAATTTGAGTAAGCTAAAATTTGTTTCAGCCCAACTCATGAAATAAATGAGCTAAAATAATAATAATACTTAAATCAATAAGTTATTTTTGTATTTATATTTAGCTTATTAAATTAAATAATGATGATTAACTAATATAAAGTCTATAAATTTTAATTATACAGTATGGTAGTGGCAATTTCATAAATAATTTTTAAAATTTTGTTTTTATTTAGAGAATTATTATGTTATTAATTTTTTTTTTCTAATTTAAATATATAAATACATCAAAATATATTAACAGATATATTTATATAAAATTATAATAATTTTATTGTGATAGATACAAATACATAAATTCATTAGTTTAAAAAAATATTATAAATAGAAATATAGTAATTTATCAGAGTAAATATCTTTAAAAAAATTTCATAAATTATTTAAATTAAAAAAAGTTGAATACTTTCATTTGAATTATTTGAAAATTGTTGGATTATTTCACCAATAAAAATAGATTATGATGCCATTCTTCAACATCAATAATGTTATAACTAGATATGTAATTATTATGTGGTTGAAATTTTGTGATGACTGAGAGTGACAATCATATTATATAAAAATTTGATGCAGTCAAATTTGATACTCACAAAAGGTGCAATAATTTATACATAAAAATAAAAAATGAAATAAATCTCAGGGTTTGACATAACTTAAAACAATCCACAATGGATGATCACAAAACCTGGAATGCTAGTTTGGTATTCTATGAGAATAGTGGAAATGATATGTAATGAGAGACTACCATTAGTGTCTATTTTTGGCTAGTAAAGATATTAGGTAACGTCGTAATAAACAACATTGGTGATAGTTGATGATGTTTAGATAATTACAAATGTTAGTGTCAATTGATGGAGAGTGAAGATGCATGTTAGCATCATTTAATGGCCAACAATGGCGGTCGAATGATGGCTAGTAAAGAAGCTAGAGTCAAATGATGAGCGATGGATGAAATCAACATCTATTGATGGAGGGAGATAAGGAACATCAATATCAGTTAGTGGGGCATGATAGAAGTTGCGTGAAAATGTGCCACAGTGTTGGCTTCATTGATTTTGTTTGATAGTGAGCATACAACAAAAACTATCAACTTTGATTAATGGTGAATAATAATAGCAGTTATTGATTGATGGCTAGAACTATATGATTCTTCAAGTCCAAGGACTCTTTCCTCCCTCTTAAAGTTTTGAATTAAGGCATTATTATAGAGTTTTGATGATGGTAGTTTAGTTATTTTCATCCAATTTAGAAAACACTAATTTAAATAACTCATAATGACTTGTCAGCAACATTTAATGTTTTTTTTTTTTAGGAGCCTTAGTGATACTAGAATTAAGTAATCTAATCCATCAAGAAGAGGACATAATAGAACTAGGAGTTTATACTTCTATTTGGAATCTTTGGATATAAATAAATAAACTCTTAAAAGAGTAGGTGGCTTTCAAACAATCCAAAATTTTAAAATTTCACTAACATGCTTTTTGGATGATAAATATTCCATTCCATTCCTCTAAGAATCTTAAATGAAGAGAGAAAAATGTGAATTATCTATTTTTAATACATATATTCTTTTATTTTCACTAAACTATGGATTAGTTTGTGATAGTTTTCTCTCCACTTTCTACATCAACTTCTTAGTTAGTACAAAATTTTTTTTTTAAGCAATGAAAAAATAATGACAAAAAACTATCTTATATGAAACCTAAGAGCATAACCCTTAAGGTAATTCATACACTAGAGCTTTAGTTTAAATGAGTGTGTTGATACTCAATAGTTCAAACATTTATATGGGAAAGAAGAACGAGAGAAAGAAGAACAATTTTTTTAATTAATTATTAAAATGCTTATAACTTAATCATAACTACATCATCCAGAGAATCTTGGAATAAGAAAAGAACTTCATCATCTAAAGTAGATTCTCCACCACCAAAATCCACTTCAAATATCTTTGTTGAAAGAGAAAAAGAAAAAGGTGAAAGAATAGCATAAAGCTTGGATCAAGCATGCATCCATTCAAGGTCAACCTAGAATATATTTTCTAGTTTGTTTTTATTGTAATTTTATCTTATATATTTTTTAAAAAGAGAAAATATATTAGTATATAAATATATTTTCTTTTAAGAAATATATTTTCTTACACTACAATTAATAATAATTACTTGATTAAACACAAATTTTGGTATAATTTATTTAGCATATAAATTTTATAAATTGGTTATGAGCCTCTAAACTTTGATTTAAGCAAATTTATTGTCAAAATAGTATTTTTTGATTTGATGAGATGAACACAATGATACTCATAATACATTGTTCTAAGCCCAACAAAATCTAATTCCAACGCTCAAAATATAATTAAAAACTTATTGAGATCATTTGAAAGATCCAATGTCCTGTAAAGTTTTCATGTTTATAATAGAAATAAGCATCTTAACTATATAAAAAAAAACTCAAGGCAATGAGATGTCCAAAAGACATAAATTATCAATCACAGTTAATGTTTGTCATTGACCAACATAAATGATCATCATAATTTTTGGCTGGATGTTGATCATCATCGTTTGAGAAAAATTAATAGCCCATATTGACTTGTGCAGATGATATAGCCATCCATTGTCCAACATAGGCTGTCGAGTAACATTGATAGCCTTTATTGTCACCTCTAGCATCGACCATCAACTTAGCATTGAAGATTGGCATTGAATAATATCAATCACTATAGGAAAATCGCGTGTACCAGCAAACATTAATATCTTCTATCATTTGTCACAAGAAATTTGAGCTAATTCAATTTTAGTTACTTAATGTATGAAATCTACACAAAATAGCCATAATGTTTAGTATTGAATCATTGGATGGCACACTCCATGATCTAAGGTGAATTTTTTTTCTTTTTGTCTTTATGATTTATTTATTTCTTATTTCTTTTATCTTTCATTAATTATCTTAAAGAAGACTAATAAATAATAAAAATCATAATTAACATTACTATAGCCATAATCTATCATGTCAGTAGAATCTAAAATAATATATGCAGTAATTTTCATAAGCTACAAAAGAATATACATAAATCAGAAGAATTGAAAGAAAACTAAAATATCATTACAGCTAATCATCAATTCACGAACTC